GGGGGAGAGGGGGGGGGGGTGTTTGAGGGGGGCGTGGGTGTGGTTGGCGGGAGGTGGGAGGGGGGGTGGGGGGGGGGGGGTTGTGTAAGAAATGTATGGGGTGGGGGAGAGGGGAAAATAAAAGAGAGGGGTGGTGGGGGAAGGGAAGAAAAAAGAAAAGGGGGGGGGGGGGGGGGGGGGAAGGGTGAAATAACTGAATTGTGGAGGAGAAGGAGGGGACTGGTGTAAGTAAAAAATGGTGATTGGTGCTAGGAGGAGGGAGAGTTTCGGCAGCATTTTATCTGATTTTCTTCATGGGATAAAGACAAAAGGCTACGACGTCATTGGTGTTCATGTATTTGTGCCATCCTTAATGAGATTCCTGCCCAAAAAAGGATGACTCAGTGCGCCCTATACTACTCTCAGGACTCTAGTACTAAGTTTTTCAACTTTGCATGGACAGTGGAGAGTGGACAGAGTGATAAGCACCCGTCTGCATGGTTCGACATGCTTCGTCATCTTTACATTAAAACACTTGGCGGTGTGGTTTATGTTTTGCCTTGTCCCTATACGGTGTTTTCCCAGTCTCTCTCAGTCAATTCGTTTCGGTGACGTATCCGAGGCGCATGGACCACGTGACCTTAAACGCTTTGGCCACGAGGAAAAATGAGGCCTAGGGACTAGGAAAGTTTATGTTATTGCATGTTTGAGTTTCCACAATGCTTTACTTAAAGGGATTACATCATTACTTTCAAAATCTCAAACAAAATCTTTGATGAAAAAGACTTAATACCTTAAATATTTAAATGCTGCCTAATTTGTCTTCAATATTGAGACTTGCGAGTTTAAAAAAATGGGTTTGTAGTATGCCCCAAATTTTTCAAGCTGGTATTTACTAAAGTCATGACATGTAGGTCTTCTTTAGTCCCTATCAAAATGCAAGCTACCTTCCCTAATAACTCGAGGATTAACTCATGGTTGTGCATAATGCACATTTACAATCTTGTGTCTTGATCCATTTATCAATCTCCAACCTAGCATCTCCTCGTCCAATCACATCCAGCTTGTTACAAAGATCCTCTATAGAACGTGAGGAGCAACAATTTAGAACAGTTTCTGTGGGATTCTTCAGTGATTTGAAATATAATATCTGATCCATGTTAAATCCCATTTCGCCAGCGAGATCTTTGAAGTCTCCTCCTAATTCACGTGGGGGGTCTAGCTTGACAACCAAGGCTCCCCTTACCTTATAAGGCAGATTGGTAATAAACTTCTTTTGTATGCAATCATCTGGGACGGGTAGAGGGTTTCTTGAACCTGGTATTAAAGCACAGTGATTATGATGATGATGATGATGATGATGATGATGATAAGAAGTGGAAGAAAGATCACTAGAGGCCGGTAGACTTGTGTAATTTTGAAAGGCATGAAAGTATATGCATCAGGGTGAAACAAAATACTGAGCTCTTTTTACAATTTGTAAGGCTACTTTCACGTAAACAGCGATTAAATCAAAATTTACAGTAGGTATCCAAGTGAAAAAAATTGATGCCAGTCTTGTAAGAGCTTCATGAAAAGAAAATCAGAACAACATTCACATGCATTAACTCGAGGGCTTGTTTGTGCTTACAATGTCATCTTGACATTTTTCACAGTCAGGAACACAGATCAAGCTAGCCACATTACACTGTCATGCAATAATTGGGCGGAAGGTAGTTTCGGCGGAAGGGGATTTGTTTTGGAAATGTCCCTAATTTCTACTTTCCTAAATATTAAACCACTGCACTGTGCAGTTGGCAGCCCAATGAACCCCTCTATGGGGGTCTTGTTCGTGACAATTATTGATGCGTTAAAATGTACAGGACAGAATAGTGCAAAATGTTATCAACCTGCCAAAACTTTTCTGCTTCCTCAAATACACACCTAAATAACGAGGAAAAGACAAATTATGGAGAAAACATTTACAAACCTATTGCCCTGTCATTCATTTTTTCAACACTACCAGCTCCTTCATCATCAAGCTTACTTGCTCCTTCTGCTGGATTGCAAACTTGTAATGTCTCCATTTTTATATTAAGGTGCTGAATGTCTTCTCCACCAAGAGGAACAGATGCACCTAAAATTAACACAGAATGTATAATCTTAACAGTTGTAAATACCAACAGTGAACTGGACTGTGGTTATTGACCTGTTACTGGTATTACAATTTGCAAAGGAAACTAAAAGTAACTGCTATCCCTTATCTGTCCATCTGTGCACCTTTTTGCTTCTCACAATATGGAGGATTGGGTGCCATTAAAATCTTACTCAGTAAAAGTTAATGGCAGTCCACAGGCATGGTATGGAGTACCTTAAAGTTATTTAGATCAACTCTCTTTGGCAAGAGGCCGTGTTTGTAAGGTCCAATGACTGCTCTCAAACTTAGGCATTCACTTATCAGTATGACCAGTATTGCATGACCTATCTGCTCCACTGCTTAATTGTGACACAACATGGCCTCTACAAAGGAGGGAGGCAGGTGTATGATTAAGGACACCTTGATTTAATAATTAAAATGTCTGGACGATTACAAGTTGATTATTTGTTATTAGAACTTGTCCTTGTGTTTTGCAATTAGTTTGTATGGTTGGTCCCATTTAATCCACCCCTTTCACGGCTTCTCTTACAAATGTAACTAGTGAGGTTGACCTCAAGTTCGCTCCCAGGGTTCTCTCCCTACATGTCCCATCTCTTGCTTGTGCGCTCTGTAGGGATAGGTTAACAAGATTATTAAAGATGACCCAAGAACTTTTCTTTTCTTCTGCAGTCTATACCATTTTCATCTATCTGCTTTCTCCTGAATTTTCATTTACACTAATAAGTGCTTATTAATTGCTTAACTTCTTTGTCACTCATAATTTTAATCACAAAATGTTCATAGTAATACCTCCTTGGGACACGCTGATATCTTGAAGGCAGTACTTTTGAGCAATTAAACCCTTGCCTACTGCTGTGTGGCTTAATGCTTGGGCAAGCCACTCGTATGTTGCCCGGGATGTACTTTTCTGTGTCCAGGACAGGAGCATTGTGTGAGAGCATTCATAGAGACTCCCATTATTTTCTCTAATATCATCAAGCTCAGTGTCCTCCAGCCCAAGCAACCGTCCAACCCATATCCACTTAATACCAAGCTCATTTGAAATCGCATCTATAACAGTGTCTGACACCTTCCCAGTCCTCAAATGACCCTTCTCTAAGATTGTAAAGCAAAAGTAAATGAACATGCAGTTCTGATATCTGCGTAGGAGGCTTCAAAAGGAGAGGGGAGGGAGGGGAAAAGGAAGAGGGAACTGGGGAGAGAAGGATAGAAAACTGCCTCCTTTCCCTTTAATTTTTTCCCTTTCAATTTTCCCTTTCTTGCTTTTCTTCCCCTTTCCTCCCCTTTTGTGCACCTACCTCACAGGACTAACAGTTCCTAGAAAAAGGGCAACACTAATGACAAAAAAAGAAATTGTATAGAGTCTTTTCCCAGAAGTAACAAAAGTAATTATCTCTTCTTACCCACCACCTTGATGCACCTGCAGTCCTTGTTTGGGTGAAAGCTGCTTTGTTTTGGGGTTAGAGTCCTAGCTGCCATCCAAGTGTAGATCAAGGATGTAGTTTTGATATCACCAAATTAAAATAATAATAATAAAAAAAGCCACTACATGTAGTACTTTTTACATAAGTTTACCGAACAAGAGTGGCAGTTCAGACATACCTGTAGAGGAAACCTATGAGAAATCCTAAAGAAATAACAAACAAAAGAGAACCAAAACAAGCTTAAATTATAAGCTGAAGTCCCATGTAAATAATCTTCAAAGTATAATTAAAACAAAGTTGAAGATAGTGATTCTGGATTTCAGAGAATTAACGGGGAACAAGGTTTGGAATAATCATTATAATTAACAGTTTTATCGTGAACGAGGCTGGGCATGATATGGAGAATTTTGCATATTGAGGAGGTTGTTAATATCCACTCGGCTTTATAATTCTAAATATCGTGCTCAGCCTTGTGTATATGGAGGACATTAATCAGATCAGACAGACGTTTATTATTACGGGTAAAATATCTACCGATTACCTGTTTTAGAGGGGCTTTGGTTTCTTCCTTCACAATATTTTTCAGCTAAATCAATGCGTAGCAGCGTTCCTGATCTAAACGATTCTCCCAGCTCTTGATAATTAGCCCTAGATCCCTTTTTTTGCTGCCAAGCTTGTAGAATTCTGTATGCCTGTTCAAATACATTTCTCTTGTAATCTTGATCAATTTGCTCAACTTCCTTTGACAGGCCATTTACGTATCCAAACTTTTTCCAATCACGACACAAATCACAAGCAATGTCGATCATACATCGCCTAGAGACAGACTCCATTCTATCTCCAACATTCTGTGGCAACCACTTCCGGCTTTTCGTTAAATGGCGTCCCTCGTCATGTCACCATACATGACGTATTCATTGGAAAAACATGGAACATGGCGGTCGAGGTATTGCTAACGAAGCACATCCAAGATGCCATTTTAGAAGCTATTAGACGCAACTCAGTTCCACAGGATCTTGAGAAACAATTATCGAAATATACAAAATACTGTAAAGAAACGAAAGAACTAGATAAAAGGAAGGAAAAAGTGGCCATTCCATTCAAGTTAGTCAAACAACTTTGGGAATGTCTTCGAGAGAATACCGGTAGGCCTCATGTACGTCATAAACAAAGTTTTTTGAGCCTCTGTCCAGGAATCGATTGATTAAAATGTACAATTCAGAAATTATTTTTATCGCAGGCGTTTTGTTTATATTTTAGTACTCTCTACGGTACGATCTATACTGCAAAAGTCAGCTTTTACTCCTCCTATGCCCCTAGTGCCCTTGAGGATGGCATGTTTCTGCAAGGCGCAATCTTGTAGCCGTTTTTTTTTTCTTTTCTTTTCTTTTCTTTTCTTGTTCTTTTAAAAATGGTAAGAGAAAGAACTGAGGGGTCAAATGACTCTTATGTCTCTTATCACTCATCCCAAGCAGCCTAGCGAGGGACTCAGATGATAATAAAGCAAATCTCCCCAGGGCTCTTAGCAAATTTACCCGTTTTCACACATAGCGCACAGTATAAAGTTTGCCTTCAAAACCTAATGTAGGAAAACCACATGCCCAATGCTGCCTTGACGTTAGCTAGAACGTTCCTAGGCTTCTCTTTAAATTTATCCAACCATCTTTCTAGATCAAGATTCAAAACTATACTTGCATGAGCTGCTGGCAGGAAGTGAAGTTTATGTTGAACCTTTAAAGTTACCAGAAAAGGTATGTTTAAAAGATTTATCTAGTTATTATACTGTGAAGTTACGCCATACCCAGCATCAATTTTCTCCAAACAATATGTAATTGAGAGAAAAGATTATGCAAATTAATGAAATGATTACCAAATAGAAAGTGCATTGATCTTAACCAGAAACTCATAAGGGGTTGAAACGTGTAACTCTCATATGTTTGCTTTGTCCTATGCTCCTATGCTCCTATGCTATTCATTTTCGAAAGTACCATATTTGGAACGAGAAGAAGAGATAACAGACCAATCAAATTTCGTAAACAACGTGATGTAATTTTCCTTCAGGTTCCCACGCCTGCTTAAAAAAATGGCCAGCTAACGGAGGAAAAACTCCCGAAAGCCGAGAAAGCTTTCAAAGGTTGAAACCAGGAATATTACCGAAACACTGAGCAGGATATTATTGCCTTACCACACCCGGGCCAAACGTAACATTATGAAACCCACTGACGGCCTCGCAACTTCTTGAAGTTGTCACTTCAAAAAACGATGCCTCATTGACCCTCTGCACAGTAAACTTATACTGCAAATAGGCTTTTAAAATTCTTATGTTAAAATCGAAAAGTGTCCAAAACCTGAACCTGACATCTTCGCAAAAAGTGATGCTTGTAATGAATGTGAGAAGCATTTTAAAAGCTTAAATTAAACTTAGATGTTGCAGTCACGATCGTGTTTTTAGCTAATTTTATGACTGAACAAACTCAAAACAATAGACAAAGAAGCTGTTTCTTGAAAATTTTTATTCAAAGTCCAAAAAGTTAATCCTTCAAAGCAATTCGGAAAACACTATCTGGATCGTGGATCCGTTCTCGCAAGTGACATTGGCTAAGCTCATGGCAAAATTCAACACAAAATCCATCTCAAATCAGGGCACATTTTGTGATTTTTTTTAGCGCCGAAGAGAAAAATTTATAAAACGTCTATGAAACATTTAAAAATACATAAATTCCCTTTTAAAAAGGTAATTGTCTTGGCCATAGAGTGCAAAATGTACCTGAAAATTCATCAAAAACTTCGCTGCCTTGGTTGCATTTCAAAACAGACCATGGGCTCCGCCGTGAAGAAAACAAGGTTGAATTCCTTGAAGGACGATTTCTTGATGAAAAGCTTCCCTTTCTCCACAAAAAGAAAGCTGAGCATTCTTTTGAACTTTCAAAGTTTTAACTTTTAGCAGTGTATTTTTAACCTTGAAATGCAGAACTCTTGCCTTAAAACATCTGCATGGTGATCGCGCAGCTGCCATTTTGTTGAAAATGGATATCCGTCACTAAGATTTCCAAATATGGTCAAAATGAATATTCACAAGCACTGAATGCGAGTTACACGTTTCAACCCCTTATGGGTTTCTGTCTTAACACATATCCTGTCAACTAAATCTTTGTGGCAAGGAAATGTATTGAGATCAGTCCAGAGAAGTTTACAGTGAGAACAGGAATGCTCAATTTTTCTGGTACCACATTCATACATGTAGCAGAGCTCGAAAATTTATCATCATCAACAAGGAGGAACAGAAATAAAGCAAATTTACATCTGGAACCTCTTGGCTAAAAGATTGATTTATGTCAGTAGTATGGAAAGGCCAAAATGCAAACCCCTCTCTTGTGAAATGTCCCAAGCAATGGGAAGTATTGAGAGGCAGCTATAAAATAAAGAAATTAATTAATAATTCCGTTATTTATCCTCTGCAGTATTTAAAGCACCTATGCTAGTGGGGTCGAGCAAATGTATGAGACAAATAATTTAAATAAAACATAATAGGGTTAAGAATCCTAACTAGCTTGAGGCAAACCAGCCGGCTAGTTACAAGCGTGGCCAAGGATTTGATCTAGTGACTCCCATGAACAAAATTAATCCAGCCAGCAGTCAGAGCAGGACTTGAACTCGGGGCCCTCTGAATTAAAAGTCCAAGGCTCTAACCACTCAGCCATGCTGCATCCTTATGCTGTATGTGAGGACTGATATTTCTGATTTATGACTTGCATTTCCACTAACAACCTGCAGTTTTATTTTGTTAAATTGCTTAGCCTTGTCCTCAAAACAGTATGACAAGTCTAAAACACCCGTCACATTCTTTGATAAGTCAGAGTACATTCTATATATCAAGTAAATAAGACAGAAAGTGTTACCATCATCAGATCATAATATCCAAAAGTGCTTTTTTAGAAACTGTTTTATTTAGTTTTTCAGGTCCTGTGATTTTATACATGTACGATGGTGCAATTTTGCTCCGTTTAGCTAGGTCAAATTGCATCCAATCACAATAATGTTTAAGAAATCTTTTTAAATTATAAGACAAAATGCATACAAATGTAATCCAGATTATTTTTTAGTCATCGCTTACCGGTAATCTTAATGCAATTTGTTTAGTTTCATACCCCTCAACTTTGGAGCCAAGTATGAATTTTTAATTTCGGAATAAGCCTTTTGTTATTAACAATAATATATGGCACTGACTTTTCACTGATTTCTTTTATCATTGCATAATTGTAATTTTTACTTTGTACTAGAGTCCAGAACTCATAGCTCGTCTGAAAAAGCTAAAAGCAGAGCAAGAAAGGGCAGAGTATGACAGGATGGTTGCAAATGTTGATAGAAAGGTGAAAATGCTGTGTTTCAGTCTTTTTTGTTTTCAATTTGTATCAGTTAGCTACCAGTGTATTTGTTGTAAAGTGAGAACTGAACTTCAACTCTTTGCTTTTACCTCCACCTACATGTATCCTTTTCATATAAGGCTAATTGTCTATACTTCCCAGCCAGACCTATCCAAATCTGTTGAACTGATTGTTGGGGTGGGTAGCTCTTCCCAGTTATTCCATCTCTCTCTGTCCCTTCTCTCTGTCTGCCATCATTCTTCATTTCCTCTTGAATCTGCCTGCTCTTGTCAGCTGAACTGTTGTTATTCTCCACCTCCAAATGGCGTCATGCTCTGCTTACCTACATGAGCAAGTGTAGGCAAGGTATTGGACAGTCGAGTGGTTCTAAGAAATTTTTTTTTTATTACTTAAGGTGGCTTGATTGTTTTTCAGGGTCAGTACCTCTCAAGTTTGAGCATAAACTACATCACCATTAACAAAGATTTGGAAAAACTACCACCATAGCTGTACAGAGTATTAGATAAAGATGAAAATTTGTCATGATCAGGGTTGCAATGACATCGGAGTTGTCATAGCAATGAAGTGATGCCATTACCTATTTTACTTGCAGCTGTATTTCTCACCACTGGGAACTAATCTTCCAAATTGTTCATGGGAACTTTTTCTTCCAATAGCCGTCTCGATTTTCGTGAAGTTTAAGTAAGCAAAATCTGTAAGAGCGTTATTGAGATATTTTGGGATGAACTTTTTATGGTTAGTACATGTAATGTGTTAAAAACTGGACAATATTAATGTTCGGTCGTTGTCTGCAGGAAACGAAGTGTTTTTGAAATGCAATTATTTCACCTCATAGTTAATTTATTCTTTTTAAAAACACGTGAAAGATCATGGAGATAGCTCTCAGCCTCTGGCCGATTGCTAGAAAGAAGCTGGATTTGGTTAGTGTGTGTCAAGGCGCTCTTGTTGGCGGTTTTGTAAATATTTTGGTCTACTTAAACAAATAGACAAATCATTTTTAAACCGATTCTCAAGATTAACCGTCATTTTCTTTTTTATCAGAAATTTTGTGTTTACAAGTGAGAGCTTCTCATTATTCAGGGTATGGTCTCCAAGTTTCATATTTTTGTGGACAACAATAGGCAACATTTCTGCGTATATAATTTGTTATTTACTGCTGTTCACGTGAAAATGAAACTTTCAAATTTTCAACTTTATCTAAAACAGCTGCAGTGGTAATTTTTCCAAATCTTTGTTAATTGTGACATAGTTTATGCTAAAAAAAAACCCTATCAAGCCACCTTAAGGTTTCTGAAATTTGGTCAGATGGGAGAGTGCAGGTGATTGGTGCACCACCTACAACATTGTAACCTAACAATTACAACTACAAAAACATTTCTCTTGTGGAAAAAAAAAAACACATACAAACACATCTAGATGTCCACTGGTTGTTTTAATCTACTACTCTTAAGCCCTGAACATGCCAACAGAACATGTATAGTTGAAAACCATTAACACAAGAAGGACTCCTTGTTATCATTTTAATGAAAATAAAATATGTTATTTTGCTGTTTTATTTACTACAGTGGCACCAAAGTAATGGAATGCAACTGGGACAGGAAGGTGGGTGTCACTGATTGTAGTGTATTATTTGTATTTTTCTGATGAAAGTGAAAGTGTCTTGGCACAAAAGAGCACTTATAGCCAAAACTCTAGGGTATTTGTAAGCAGGTACTTAGGCTTTTTGAGGGAGGGGCGAGGGGGGTGGTGGCTGCAGGGGTATGTATGTCTCTATTCTGAATTTTAATGGTGGACATTTCATGTATTGAAGAGAAGGCCATGTCTTTTTTAATATTTCACTATTGTATTTGGGATTTTCCTTGTAACTGTCTCAGTTACCCACCCATCTTTCGTGTTGTTTGTTGCCATTTCATCTGACAGTGTTATGTTGCTATTTCAAGGCCATGTGGCTTGTCAGAATTTTACCCCAACAGGGCCTCCATACTGTGTATTTCACATTAGTAGTTTTACTTGTACTTAAATTTCAGTGCTAAGTCAGACTTAAGAACTGTTTTATCTTATTAAACCAATTCACTTTGTCTAAGTGAATCTGAAGTTATTCATTGCAAGATGGAAAGTTGAAATCCTGGGGAGATATGCAACAAAGTATTATACAGAAGAAGCTCTGCCCCGAGGTCCAACCCCTTACACTTTTATATACCATTTTTAACAGAAAAGGTACCCCTGAATTGTATACCTTCCACTGGCAAAAGGTACCCTTTTCACGTACCTATTTAAGAATGCTGCATCCCTGTTAACTGTTGTAAATGAACCATCTTTTAAATAATCAAAAAAATGGCCAAACAAGGATGTCCTCTTGACTTTTTCTCAGCCAGAAAAAATCAGTTAGCCCTTTTAGTTCCTTTTACAGACCGAAAAGACCGATTTCTCTCCCCTTCATATTTTTCAACTAGTGAAATCCCTACCCTTTTATCTGCCTGAAGTCTCAAAATGGAACCCTCCTTGGGAGTACCACCCTCAGGATTAAAATAAGAAATATGTATCCTGAAAACTGAAAACTTGCAGTTACTTGGGCTGGAAGGTTGACAAGGCATGTCAATCAAGGTTAAGCTACCTTGAAGGAACAGAATTGATTTTCTTTTGTCAATGTTTACCTTTTAGTTCGCTCTGTCAGCAAACAGTTGGCCTCTATAATCAACTTTCTTTTGTCAATAATGGCAACATTTGCATTTGGTTTTATCGCATCTCAGTATGCCTTTCCCTCCATTGCTATGGTATGTAATAAATAAATGGGTTGTGAGTAACAATCAGGTTCAATCAAGCATCTTAAATCCAACCAGTGTAATTTATGGTATTCTGGACAGTCACATAAAACGACACCACTGCATTAATCAAAACTTAAAAATAGGGTGGTCGTGGTTGAAGTTTGCTGCTGTTGTTGTTGTTTTATTTTTGCCTGCTAAGAAAATGGCTTGTAGGGCTCTTAAGCTTATCATAAAGGGAAGCAATGGAAGCATAAAGTAATCCAAATAACAATTTTACAGAAAAATCCGGTTCAGGGCGAGTCCAAAACATAATCATGTGCGATTTACCAGTCTACCGTAAAACTGCTACATCTGTTATCATTTGAATCCAAAACGGGCAAATTTGTGCGGCTGAAGTCTGGAACCGAAAAAATTGGCAATCGGTGTGTAGTATTCCACTTGGCTTAACCAACCAGAATGAAAGGACTTCTGAAAATTGTTGTCCTCAATTTTCGGGTGGAATTTCCAAAAAGTGACCTTACCATTAACCTTTCGAGCGGAATTTTCAACATCTCTTTAGAACAAAATTTGATAAGCACCCCCAGTTACTTGACGTAGATGTTGGTGATATAAAAGCAGATTTTGCACTGAATGCTTCATGAAGGCTTTTTTAAAGCAAACCACGTTTTAGGGAACCGTCATTTTGGGACACTTTTTTAAAAATGCACTCATAGTTACGGGCTTCATTAATAATATTGGATTGTGTATAGGAGCAAGATTCTGGCCATGAAGAGCCAATTCTCAAATTGCAAAGATAAAGCAATCGTCTGTTTTATTTCTTTTTCAGAGAGTGATCATAGGAATTGTGCTGGCCTTCATCGTAGCCATTGCAGAATTGTATTTTATGGCCAGAGTGGAAATTTGATTATTATCCCCTTTTGTATTATATTTCTGTCAATTTAATCGTTGATGTATATAAATTGTAAAAATAAAAATAAAATAAACTTTGAAAAACCGGAAACTAAAAACTGTGAGAAAACTCCTCGTTTTCTAACTTACATCATTAACTAAGGAGTTGTAGCTTTTAGCAAGCGAAGTAGAGGCAAATAGTGTCTTGTGCGTCGCTGAACATTCACTTCCCTGTGACAGCTCTCGCTTCTTGCAGAGTCACTGGCTATTTCATTCGGATCGCGATTACAGTTGAAAGTCAAGGAAAACTTCTGGGTTGTTGATATTTGATTTTTCAGTCTTTTACCATGCCAATCCAGTAAGCGCTCCGATTATAGCAAGCAGAGAGGAGACTATCGTTTGTTGGTTTGTTTGTTTGATGTTGTTGTTTTTTTTTTTTTCAGTAAAGAACCCTAAATTTGTAACCACAACGGACGGTTCAACATTTTCGTTTATAGCAAGCAGAGAGGAGACTATCGTTTGTTGGTTTGTTTGTTTGATGTTGTTGTTTTTTTTTTTTTTCAGTAAAGAACCCTAAATTTGTAACCACAACGGACGGTTCAACATTTTCGGAATTTTGTTCTTCCTGATCTTTGCACGCTCGTCGGGCTCAATCATCTTTTTTCATATCGGTTCTTTTATTGGCTACCTTTAGGACGAGTACGAGACTTTCCTTCGAACTTTAACTATTTCTCTTTTTGGCCTGTTGCTCACAGAGATAGTAATGTAAAACGTAATTTTATGAGACCAGAAGCATATAACGGTCAAGTCGCCCGAAGCCAGAGTTATGTCGCCCGAAATTTTATTATTCTAGCATCAACATCCTAACATCTTAATCGCGCTTGTTTCGTTTCATCAAATCTTTAAGAACAAAATATATTACTGATTTGACGTGCTTGTTTCGTTTCATCAAGGCTAAAAGAACGAGATATGTTACACATTCACCTCGCTTGTTTCGTCTCTTCGTCGCATAAACAGATAAATAACAGTATATAATACACATCCATCCCGCTTGCTTCGTCTCATCATAAATCATTGCTTGAAGAACAAGACTTAATTACACGATTATCCCGCTTGTTTTGTCTCATTGTCGCTTAAAGAACGAGATATATTACATACACTCTTTATTAAAATTTTGGGTGACTTGACTAAAAATTTCGGGCGACATGACCGGTTTCAGACAAGATGACTTTCGGGCGACTTGACCGGTTACCAACCCGGGTTATATGCTTCTGATAACTCGCAGTGGTAAGTGAAAATCTGGGGTCTGGAGTGCAGGACCTTTTCACCTTCTTTCCTTCTCCCCCTCCCGTTGCCTTTTTGTCCTCGCCCCTGGTCTGACAGGAGCGTTCTAAACGACATCGTTATCGAGACAGTCGCGTGCACTGTTAGATGGTTGATTGACAAGGACTGATCACGCTCTGATGAACTTTGTGGCCTTGTCTAGAACATTAAAACATGAATTTCAAGCTAACTTAATTGCTTGCGAAATTTGTTTAGAAATGATTCAATTAACCAAGAATAAATGAAATGGACTCTCTGAAAACAGAAACGTTTAATCGATTAAAGTTGCTGACTGTGTAACTTTTTGCCTCCCATGTGCCTCCGCTATAGTGATAATTTTCCTCTAATCTAACTTATTAACTCAAGGCCCGAAATCGAACGCATACTTAAATGTTAGAATAATTAAATTTCCTTTACTCTAATTCATAATGCACATTGTTTACAAGACTTGATCAAACGAGAACCTCATGAATAAAAATTATATGGATTTGTGCTTTATTTCCGAGCTGTAGTCGAGGCATAAATGGAACAAGTTAGATTTAGAGAAAATGAACCGCTGGCTAAAATCATGATACCTTCAATGGGGCATCTTCATTTGCTTTGGTAAGCTATGGAACGATCAACTTGAGCTTTTCTAAACGTCAAGGTGAGAAAGCAGTTTCTTTTAAGAGGACATTAGCATGAAAATAGGGAAAAAAAAAATTCATTTTCGTAGAGCGATTTTACTTGACCCGTGAAACAGTTAATAACAACTAGTGCAAAATAGCTACAAATAAACAAAAGAAGACAGTAGAAGTAGTTTATAATAGTGCGTAGTATTTTACTACCTATTTCACGTGGTCAATCTATAACGTATTATTATACATACATAGTTCTGAATAAGTGATGTTTCTTGTTTGGGATAAATTAGTGAGAATACTGGGCGTATGCAGTCAAATGGTGTGGCCACTCCGTTGTATTAAAAATCGCATTAAAAGCTTTATATTTTCTCCAGCCGTGTTACAAATATGGGATTATTTTTTTCAGTCATTTCGTTCAGTTTGAGCAGATTCAGCGATATCCCAAAAGAGAGTCTGCTGATTAAAAAATGACACCTACTCGGATATAGGAAAGGAATCTCTAGTGTAATAATACTTGAATACCTACGCCGTTTATCACCACCAGGGCGTAACGAGCTAGCCTACTTCTCACGCCCTGATCACCACCAGTAATCATTAGTCGAAGATCACAACTAATGTTAATCAGTGGCAATTAAAAATAGTAGTACAGGTAGAACGTTTGTCCGGCCTTGGATTATTTTACAAGCAATATAATCAATTCTTACCCTGAACGATCGATTAATGAGGTCGATTAAACTGCGGGAGTAAAACCCATCAGAACGTTTGTCCGGCCTTGGATTATTTTACAAGCAATATAATCAATTCTTACCCTGAACGATCGATTAATGAGGTCGATTAAACTGCGGGAGTAAAACCCATCATGTCCTTTCGTTCAGTGTTCAATGCCGAGATGTCAATATAAATTCTCTTAGTTTAATAAAGAAACAAAAAGCAGCGATTGACGAGGTGACGAGCAGGGTGGAGAATTCCCTCTTAAATTTTTTTAGTAGTTTCACCCAACTATCTTGCTTTTCATGTCTTTTTTAATTTTGTACTAGACCGATCGAGATCGACTTGATTATGATGATGATGAATTTTGCCGCGCGTGTGACAGCAAAAGTACCGGCATCGGTAAGTTATCATTTAATAGAGGGTCTCAATGGGGTTAACCGATAGGCGTAAAACGGCCAAAAATTTAGTCGATAGCCGTAAAAATTGAAAAATTTTAACCGTTAGCCGTAAATAGGGTAAAAAAGAGTTAACCGTAAAATACTGATTGTTCCCTAGATTTGCTACTGTTAAGGAAGGTACTAAACTCACCTATGGTTGCGTTTTTTATTTCCCGGCTAGTGTGACTCTGTACGCACGTTAGCCAAAGCGCCTTTTAGGTGTTGACCAAGACCTAGGTTCCAGTTCCGCCGCTCTCTCGGGAAACTAATTATTTTTTTTCCATAGCGAAAATGGATTAATGGATTGCTGGGGATTAATATTTGCGATTTTCAGGAGGTCGTGCCCTCGAAACACTAGTGAAACAACACGCAGCTAGAGATGTCACTGTTTGTAAAACACGTTGCCGATAAACAACATTTCCCGTCTTCTCTGACGCTACGGTTGACATTGCCATGCCTAGTCCCTGTACGGCTTCTTCCCACGCAATATCGGGCAAACTCGCTCGGACCACGTGACCCGAAAAGAATTAGGCGCGCGGAACAATGGGGCCTACGGACAAGCGGGTAACGGCAGACAGTCGTTCCGTCAAGTCCTTCGCTATCATTAAAAACACTGGTCACCGGAATTTTGGTTTTGGCCG